GCGGTCAGCACCTCTGGCTGCGGTGTCCCTGGGGATGACCCCAGAAGCCGGTCTCTGCCCCGCACCGACCCCAGCACTCAGCACAGCACAGCACAGTGCCCAGACCCTCGTCCCTGTCTGGTCTCCCGCCCTCCCCACACCCCACCCCTGCCCTGGGCCCACCACAGCTGAGCCAGGAGCCACAGTCAGAACCCAGAGGTGGCGTGTGTGAGGGAGGGACCCGACTATGGGATGGAGGAGGTGTGTGTGAGACCTTACTCAGCTGTCGGATGGAGGAGGTACGTGTGAGGTAAGGACCCCCGGCTGGGACCCAGTGCCCAGGTCACTCCTAGGGGGTCTTCTCTGGGGCTTCCAGGCAGTCAGGACAGTGTCTGCCAAGCTGCCCTGCTGCCTCCCGCCACCCCCACCTGCCCGCCACGCCTCGCCCCTCCCACTCTGTCTTCCAGCAGGGCCCACAGGGGCGGCTGGTCCCGTTGAGTTTGGGGTGTGCTCACTGCATCCAGCGTCCGGCGGGGAGTGCTCTCTGAGGGCACAGCAGGACCCTCCTTCCTGCAAAGGCCCCGGTGGCGTGGCCTGGGCTCCACGTGACAGTTTCCTTCGAGGAGTGACGTGGGCAAGTGCTGGGCGGCAGCGGGTAGAGCTGAGAGGGAAGAAGCGATTCTCCGCAGGGCTGCGTCTCTGCCCAGCGTTGGGTCTGCCCGTGGCCTCAGCTCTCTTCTGAGAGACAGCAAGGCAAACTCGGGGCTTCCTGGACATTGACTCTGAAGACCAGCTCCCAACAACTGGGTTCAAGTCTCTGTCCATTGAGTTACGACATCTGCATTTTTTTCTCTTTTGCACCTTCTCAAAGGGATCAACAGAAGTCTGACCAGCTTGTCTAAAGTAGTTGTCGACACTTCTCCAGAAGTCGGTTTCAGTTGCAGAAACTGAACGAAAATTGAAAAGAAAATCAGGGGTTTGTCATCCACGTGACTGATCAGTCTAGGGTAGGTTTCAGGCACGGCTGTATCCAGGAGCTGAAGCGGTCGGCTCACTCATGACCAGCCTGGCCCTTGCTCTCCTCCTTGTCTGTGGTCCCGAGAGCTGCCCCTGGGCGGGAGAGGCGGGTGGATCCCGGTTCAGGTCTGAGCGCCTGGGCTGCTGGGTTGACGCTGGAATCCTGACAGGGAGGCCGCAAGCAGAGGCTCATGCTGAGGGCCACACGTGGGGCAGGTCAGCACGTATGCTGACCGATGTGGCAGGTGACCTGGGTTTCTGATGATGGGACCCAGGGGGTCCTCGCCCCCCCACCCATTTCTACAAAAACAGGCATTCTGCAGCCCTCAAGCCACTCTGCATGTCTTGGGCCCAGAGTGAATCGGCCCTGGACCCCCACGGCGCCTGTTGGGGGAGTGGCAGGTGACTCCCCCAGCGAGCGAAGGGTGAGAACAATGCCGGTGTTACCCAGCGGCTCAAGTCCCATCAGCCTGTGCCTGCCACCTCCAGCGGGGCAGACACGCTTTCCAAAGCCACAATCCTTGAGGTGGCAGTCAACGCCTGCAGCGTGCCACCCCCTCAGGGCAGCCATGCGGGACGCAGAGGAAACATTTGTTGCATCTTCTCTTTCAATCCGAGATGAGTTAAAGCAGAGTGAGACAGTATTTCAAGTGTTGCGTTTTCTATATTTTTCTTCCAGACATTCTTGTGCCCGATACATCATTAAAATTCAACCCACAGAAATATGCTTATTTCCGACACAGGGACGGACCCAGCGGCTGTAAGTCTCTGTGAAACTGGCAGAAAGATTCTGTGCCTACTGCATGTGCACACACAGATGGGCATGCACGCACACGTGTGTGCACACACCCATGCATGCACACATGCACATACATGTATACGCATGCGTGCACACACGAATGTATGCACACACATGCATACACATGCATGCACACATGAATGCATGCACACACATGCACACAACGCATGCACAATACTTGCATGCACATGCACACACATGCATGCACACATGCACACAATGCATGCACACATGGTTGCACACACATGCATACGCATGCACACACTTTCATTCATGCACACAGTCTGCACACTGGCACCCCATACATGTGTATGTACACATGCACCCATGTATGCATGCTCATGGGTGGACACACATGTGTGCTCATAGATGCATATGCACACATGTGCTCATGCACATGCATATACCACGTGCTCACATGTGCACATGTCACATGAGCTTCCCGGAACTGACAGTGGAGGGGTCGTCCCCCTCTCATGGCCACACACCGCCCGTCTGCCTGTCAGAGCCGAGAGAAGTTGAGAGGAAGAGAGCAGCAAGAAGAGAGAAGGTGCCCTGCAGGGTCCCTGAGACCAGTGACAGTTTGTCAGACCCTGCGCTCAGGAGGAGGAAGGGAACGGAGGGAAGGGGACACACATGCACACGGACACGGACACGAAAACAGGGGGTGGGGTCAGCGGGGGCGGGAGTGGCCGGCCAGAGGCGCTGCAATCAGCAGCAGAACTTAGAAAGCGCCTGTCGAGGGGCTGGCTGGGGTGGGCGTGGGGGATAGGGGAGCCCGGGTGGGGGGCAGTGACGGGCACCCGAGTGTCTCAATCGCACAGGGTGGGCGCAGAGAGAAGCCTCCAGACCCAGGTGCATCCCCGGATGCGAGGCCTCGCCGGAACTCAGCGCCTTCGTGTCCGGCCGCTGCCCCTGGTCTGCCCCTCCCCCTCCAGCCGAGGGTCGTCGGGGTCCCCAGCAGGGAGGGGAGAGCCAGCCTTGCGGGCAGAGAAGGTCTCAAAACCAGCCAACCCAGAGGAGGCCGCGGCAGCTGCGGACCCGGGGCTGGGAGACACGGCTCTGAGCGGCAGCTGCAGAAGTCGGGGACCCTCGCTCACGACCCACCCAGACCGGGCAGGTGAGTCACAGGGCAGGGGCCAGGCTGGTGCCACTGAGGGGGTCTCCACAGCCCACAGCAGCCGAGCCCCGGGGCATCCCTCTCCGCCCACGCCCTCCTCCCCGCCCACCCACTTTCTCTCCTTTGCACCTTGAGTCTCACCACCCCCAGTGAACCCCAGCCAGTGCCGGGGCGCCCAGCACTGCCCTCCATGGACACCTGCACTGTCCTTCCGTGTGGCAAATGACCCACCCAGGGACTCCGGGGGTGGCTGAGAAAGGCCTGTGCCCCACCCCACGGCACAAGGGAAGATGAGGACCCGAAGCAGCCCAAGGGTGGCTGAAATGAGCCCCGGGGTCAAGTCTCCAGCCCCGGGGGCATTGCCAGGAGTGGCCCCAGAGGACAGGGCCTGTCCCCCAGGATTGCAGCCCATGACTCTGACGCCCCAGGGGATGAGGTGCTGGGTCAGGAGGACAGTGACCCCAGATGGACAGAGGAGAGCAACGGGGCTGGGCCGGGCGAGAGGCCAGGCCAGAGTCTGCGACACTGCCCGGTGCAGCCCTGGAACCCACGGCATCACCATTTTCCAGTCTCGAGCCACACAGGTGTCCCCCTCCAAACACCCCCCCCCCCCACACACACACAGGGGAGCAGGCGGCGCCCCCCAAGGTTCCGAACTTGAACCCACCAAGCCCGCTGTGAGCCCCCAGGGGGCAGCATTGCTGCGTTGAGAGACGGGAAGGGGTGGTCCGGATGGCCCAGCAGGACACTGCACCTCCCGCCTGCCCCTCTGAGGTCCCTGTGACTGACCCCTCCCCAGACGCCCCCAGCCTGCTCCCTGCTGGGTCTTAGCTGGACCACGGGCCCTCCCACCCCCCTGGACTGTCCTGCCCCACCGGCTGGCTGAGTCCTGTCCTCGGTCCTTCCTGCCCGGCTCCAGACACACTGTGGCCCCTGCCTGGGTGCGGGCTTCCCCCTGACCCGAGTCCCGCCAGGACCGAAGTGCTCTTCACCTGGGGGGCGGTTGGGGGTACTCTCGGGGGCTGCCCATTAAAGATTCCCAGTGGGGCCCGGCTCAAGGGGGTGGACAAGACAGTCTCCTGCCTGGGCTCCCGCGGGGCACGGCTGAGCAGCCGGGACTCGGCGCTGTGGGGACACCCAGTGGCAAGGGACTGGGGCTGGGTGGGGGCGGCGGGAGAGCCTTGGGGGACGCCCTGCCGTGGCCCCCGCCCGCTGCGGCCGCGCTCCGGGAAGTGCGGCCGCGGCTGGGCGCGGGTGCGAGGGGCGGGCGCCGCGTCAGCTGCAGCGGGGTCGCGCGGGGGCTCTGCATTCGGCTTCTGGTGTCCGAGGGAGCACGGCCGCCCCCTGCCCGGACGGCGTCGGAGTGAGAAGGCGTCCGGGCGGCCGGAGGAGGGGTCTCCGTCCCGCCCTCCCGCGGTGACAGCTCCCAGGGGGCGGGGTGGGGCGGGGTGGGGCGGGTGGGGCGGGGCGGCGGGTCTGGGCGCCAGCCCCGTGCCCGGCTCGCTCCCAGGGAGGCACGGCCCGACTGGCGCGCCCGGCGCGGCCCCCACACGCAGGAGGACGCGCCCCCCGAGCTCGGCGCGGCCGGGGTGGGCAGGGACCCTCCGGGTAGCTGGGCCGGTGTCCGCGGGGGCGCGGGTGCCTGCCCTGCCGCGCCTGGCCGCCCTCTGCGCCTCTGCCGCCCGCCGGCTCTGCGCGCGGGGCTGGGGGCGCGGCGCGGGGGGCGCGCGGGGTTCGGGGGGCGCACGGGGCGGGGCGCACGGGGCTTAGGGGGCGCGAGAGCCTTGGGGCGCGTACGGGGCGGGGCGCACGGGGTTCGGGGGCCCGCGGGGCTCGGGGGGCGCGCGGGGCTAGGGGGGCGTACGGGGCGGGGCGCACGGGGTGCGGGGGCGCGCGGGGTTCGGGGGGCGCGGGATCCGCGGCGCGGGGGGTGCACGGGGTTGGGGGACGCACGGGGTTGGGGGCGCGCGGAGCGGGGCGCACGGGGTTCGGGGCGCGCGGCGCGCGGGGCGCGGGGTGCGCACGGGGCAAGAGGGGCGCGGGTGGCGCACGGGTCTGGGGGGCGCGGCGGGCGCGGGGCAGCGGCAGGAGTGGGTCCCGCAACAGGTGAGGCGCTGGGGGACCCCGCGCCCCGCGCCATGGAGCTGGCGGCCGGCGGGAACCTGAGCGAGGCCAACGGCAGCGGCCCCGAGGGCCCCGCGCCCGAGCCCTGGGCGCTGACGGGCGTCGGCGTGGAGAACCTGGTGACGCTCGCGCTCTTCGGCCTCATCTTCGCGCTGGGCGTGCTGGGCAACAGCCTGGTCATCACGGTGCTGGCGCGCAGCGCGCCCGGGAAGCCGCGCAGCGTCACCAACGTCTTCATCCTCAACCTGAGCGTGGCCGACCTGGCCTACCTGCTCCTCTGCATCCCCTTCCAGGCCACCGTGTACGTGCTGCCCAGCTGGGTGCTGGGCGCCTTCGCCTGCAAGTTCACGCACTACTTCTTCACCGTGTCCATGCTGGTCAGCATCTTCACGCTGGCCGCCATGTCCGTGGACCGCTACGTGGCCATCGTGCACGCGCGCCGCTCCTCGTCCTTGCGCGTGTCCCGCAACGCGCTGCTCGGCGTGGGCTGCATCTGGGCGCTGTCCGTGGCCATGGCCTCGCCCGTGGCCTACCACCAGCGCCTCATCCAGAGCTCGGGCAACCACTCCTTCTGCTGGGAGCTCTGGCCCGAGCCCGGCCACAAGAAGGCCTACGTGCTGTGCACCTTCGTATTCGGGTACCTGCTGCCCCTCCTGCTCATCTGCTTCTGCTACGCCAAGGTAGGCCTGCGCTGGGAGCCCGCCTGCCCGCTCCCCCCACCCCCACCCAGCTCTCCCGCCAGCCCTGGCCTGGAGAACCGCTCCCCGCCCCCCCAGGCCCCAGGCAGGGCTTGCCAGGGATGTCCCCTGGGGCCAAGAGAAAGTCCAGCCCGCACAGACACACAGACTGGAGCTCTTCCGGGGGCCGCTGACCTGGGCCTGCAGCCCCCAGCGGTCACTCCCGCCTTGGCAGGGGACTGGCCTCTCGCCAGCCTCTCCTGGGGCGAGCAGGCAGGCACCGCCTTGGGGGACAGCAGGTGCTCCGGGAGGCAGGGGCAGTGTGGATGGTGCTTGACACACAGTGAGCTTCCAGCTGCCGGTGCTGCCCAGGGTCTTCCCTGAGTGCTGGCCGGGAGCCAGCATCCCGTGGAGACCCCCACCTGCTGGCCGGGAGCTGGGATCCCGCGGAGACCCCCACCTGCAAGGTGCAGACCTCTCTGGGGTCGGCATCAGCCCCGAGCACTCACAGGCGCCCTCCCCCCCCAACCCAGCTTTGAGGGTCAGGCAGTGACTGTGGGAGGAGCCTCTGGCTGCCCCGTCCCTGGTGGGGCGAGAAAAGGTGCTGAGGGTGATGGGGAGGCTGTGGGTGCTGCCCCGTGTCAGTGGTGCCACCAGGGACCGTCTCCAGGAGCAGCCCCACAGCGCCCCTCTCCTTCGCGTCTGCCTGTCCATCTGTCTGGCTGGGCAGGGCTGCCCTGCTGGGCCGTGGACAGGGATCGTTGCCCACACTCAACCCAGAGTGATTCCCCAGCACCGAGTGTTTTTTCCGGAAGCCCTGCTGGGGCGGCCGAGGGGGTGTGGTCTGAGGCGAGCCTGCATGGGGGCTCTGAAGGGCTCGCAGCCCAGAGGGCCCCGGGGGGTCTCCCGCCAGCATCACCTCAGGCACGAGCTTTCTGCCAGCTCAGGCCAGGGCTGGTGGCGGTGGCTCCGGGTCCCTGCCTCAGTCGGGCAGGGCGGAGGCTCCCAGTGCAAAGCAGGTGGATGGTTCTGGAAGGTCAAAGGCAGGATTCCGGGACCCACGAGCGTGGGCACTTGGGGAGGGTTTGGGGCCGTGCTCAGGAGACGAATAACAGATTTGACTTTTCATTCACAATTGCCTGGATTAGAACCAAAGCTTCTTTATATCCACGAGATCTTTGGGGGAAAGAACTTGGGATTTGGAAAACTTGCAGAAATCAATTAGAGTACATGGATAGCATCCTTGGAGAGTTTGTGAAGGTCAGGTATAAGCAGGTGTAAAATGCTTCTTTTGAAAAGGCTTGAATAAATCTACAATCGCTGAGACTGTTTTTATTTTTATTATTTTCTATGTGGCAGTAGGTTGCTTCTGAGGCTGGGAATTTCCTTTGAGTTTGGGCAGCGTTTATAGATCCATGGTGGGCATCTTGGTGGGTACCTCCTCTTCTCTGCACCTGTCACTGGGACACCCCAATGGGAACCGTCACCTAAATGGGTGTCACTCCACCATGTCCCACAGTCGGCGGGGAAGTCCCGGAGGACCAAGGCGCCTCCACTTTGCTTTTTGTCTTGAACCTCGTGAGAGGACGGCGTGTCCTGTCCTGCACACGTGCCCTTTCGGTGTCCAGAGCCCCCGGGAGCATGCGGCATGCGTGTCCAGGGCTCCGGAACTAATGAGCCACGGGGGGCTTGCTCGGGGACGCTCTGTTCTCTCTTGAAAGCAAGTCCTGCCTGGGACCCCACTGGGCTGGACACAAGGGGGGTTGGCCCGCAGGTCGGGGGAGAGCCAATGCCCACATGAGCTTGGCACATGGCGGGGTCCACCAGGCCCCCCCCTCAGTCCCAAGTGCCCACCAGGATGGTGATGGTGCCCCAGAAGCCTCAGAAGTGGGGTCACAGCTCTTGTGTACCCCCGTGCTGTTCTGCCGAGCAGCCTGCCCGGGGTCTCACACACCAGCTCCTCAGGGGTCCTGGGGCACCCCGGGGCATGCCTCAGGGCACGTGCAGAGCCCCGCCCCATGTGTGTTGGGTCTGACTACTATGTCAAAGCTGAAAGAAGGCCCCCCCCCCCAGGGCTGCGGCTCAGCAGGGGGTCACGGGGGAGCCTGATGTTGCGTCTCTGGTTTCCAGGTGCTGAATCATTTGCACAAGAAGCTGAAGAACATGTCCAAGAAGTCAGAAGCATCGAAGAGAAAGGTACAGTGGCCGGTCCGAGCACTCAGTGGGTGTTTCCTGTCTCTCCAGAGGACGTGTGGGGCTGTGTTCACACTTGCTGAGGGGGGCCAGCAGCTCCTGTCCTGGGTCACAGTGTGATCAGGGTAGTGGTCGTCCAGTGCTCAATGCTCTGGCTGCAGTGCTCGCCGGAGTGCCTCTCCCTGTGGTCATCGTGCTCTGGGCTATGTCCAGGCCTCACGCCCATGGGCAGCTGCTCACCCCTGGCCCAGCCCATCGTTGATGCGTCTTGTTTGCCTTGGCCTGCTGGTCTCCTGGCACCCAGCTGGATGGGCAGAACTGCAGAGTCTGGGCGTGGGCCCCGGGGGGTGGGTGCGGACAGAGCTGGGTCTCAGGTCTAGCGGGACGAGAGGGGACATTGTCCACGTACGCCATACCCAGCTCTCCTGGGACACTGCCCTGACCTCACCCAGCCCCGAGGGTCCCATGTCCTTGTGTCCACCTACATGTGCCCTGCCCTTGACCCTGGGGGCACAGCCCGGGGGCTCCGGCTCCCCCACCCGTGGGCCCTCCTGGGAACAGCTTCTCCAGAGGGCTGCAGCCCGGTGCCCCCTGGCCGGCCTTGTCCGGCTGCTGATGCCCACCTTGGTGGCCAGGCCCAGGGGAGCCAGGCGCCCGGCAGGGTCCTCGGAGTGGGCTCGTCCCGTGTCCCCAGCCGTGCTGGGCAGCAGGAGGGCCACAGAACCGCCCCCCGTGTTTTCTCACATTCCCCCCCCCCGGCAGTTTCCCTGCGAGCTCCCTCTCCCCGAGGGAGTCCCCATGGACGCGGCCTGACCTCTCTGCCCCCCCGGCCCCCACTGGCCCCAACGGGCCATGATGAGAGGCATGAGGGGCTTCCCCCAGGGCCCCGGCTGCCCGAGCTCGGATCCTTCTGTCTCCGCTGGGCCGCACCTAGTTGCTGTCACCCAGTCCCTGTGCCACGGGGAGGACAGCCGGGGCCCGGGCACTCAGGGGCAGGTGCCACAGCGAGGGCCCAGTGCCTGCGTCTCTGGGTGCACACCGGGCGGCAGAGAAGCTGGAAGGTCCCGGGAAAGTTTAAGACCAGTAGGGCCAGGAGCTGTGGTGGAGAGAAAGGTGGTGGCGGGCAATGCCCAAGGTTCCCTGGGGGGAAGTGCCCGAGTCTCCCTGGAGGGTGGGCAGTGCCCGGGGCTCCCTGGTGGGCAGTGCTCATTGAGGAGCCCTCCGTGCCCACTGCCACAGCGTGAGCTCAGCCAGCGCCTCCCAAGACCTGTTCTGCTTTGCTGCGTCCCCGTGAGTCCCCGCAGCCCCTTCTAGAACACGGTCATCGGCTGTGGTGCCCAGCTCGCCACGGGGCACCAACTGTGCCCGATTCCCTGAGCCCTGGGCTCAGCCCCACCAGCACAGCACCAACGTGGGTGTCTGTTTCGAGGCCCAGGTGTGGACCCACATGCGTGTTCCCATGTGTGTGTGCTCGTGCTTACAGGTGGCTTGCATGTAAGTAGGGACATGTGCTTGCATGTACACCGTATGTGTCCATATGAACTTGCATGTTTACAGGCGCCTGGGCCTATGAATATGGTTCTCTGTCCATGCATTGCACATGCATACGTGTGTTGTGGACGCATGTTCGTCTGATGTGTTTATGTGTAGATACATGTATCTTATGTGCCCACGTGTAGGTTTATAGTCACGTGTATCTATTACATATGCATGTGTTTAGAGGCACCTGTGTGGTGTGCATGTGCACACCTATGGACAAGCGTGTTTTCACGCGTGTGAATCATGCGTGCGCTTGTAAGGCTGTGCGTGTGTCCCTGAGCCGTGCACAGGCTGTTGCGTGCGTGTGGAGACCAGCCTCGCCAGAGGAGCGTGGGGAGAGTGAGGTGCGTCTCATCCATGCTGGAGCCCTTGACCCGGCCCGCCTCCGACAGATGTCCAGTCTCTGAGATACATTTAATTGCCTCTTTATTTGCACGGAACAAATGGTGTGTGGGTGGGGTGTGCCGTGGACTCAGCCGGCCAGGCTGTTGGCAGGGAGTGGGGGCTCGGGGCTCGGCACCGGGAGGGCCAGGTGCAGCCGGCCTGGGGGCGGGGGCCGGCATGCTGTGTGCTGTGTGTGTGGAGTGTGTGGTGTGCGCTCCCCTGCAGGGTGGGGCTGTCGCCACGGTGTTCTCCAGTGAGGTCTGTGGGTGTCCAGGCGGCCTGCCCGCGGCTCAGGCTCGTTCTCCGTGTCAGGCCAAGCTGAGACGGGGTGTCCCCGGGAGGCTTTGGCAGTGAGGAGCAGTGTGGTGGCTGCGTCCTGTTCCAGCCCCGGCCACTTGGCGTGGGGGGCAGCTGCCCTGCGAGTGGCAGAGGAGAGGGGACGGGGCGCTCTGCGCCTGGACCAGGTGACATCCCGTGGGAGGCTCCTAACCCCGTCAGCTCCCGGCTGCTTTGAACACCGGCTTTCTCTGCCTGCGGCCTGATGCGTCATTTGTACGATTTAGGGAATGGTTCCATCTTCCTGTCACTCCGTTTCTTCCCTGTGGAGTTCCATTAGTGAGAGTAAAATCCTTGGAAGGAGAGAGATGGATGCCTCCTGGAAGAGCACTGCCCAGGAGAGGGAAGGCGCGTTTCCAGTACTTCAACACGGGCACACAAGGCAGAGTTAGGGACCAGGGAGGAGTTAGGGACCCAGAGGGGAGGAGTGAGGGACCAGGGAGGGAGTTAGGGACCCAGAGGGGAGGAGTTAGGGACCAGGGAGGGAGTTAGGGACCCAGAGGGGAGGAGTTAGGACTTGGGGGAGGAGTTAGGGACGGGGGAGAGACTTGAGGCTCTGCTCCTTGTCCCAGCTGGGCCCTCATCTTTCCCAGAGACTTGGGTGCCTGGACCCTGGTGCACTTGTGGGGCTCCACTGTCCCCTGGATGGACGGGAAGGGGCAGTGGCCATTCTCCAGGGAGAGACAGTCCCTGGGCATCTCAGATGCGGGAGGGAAGGCATGTGGTCAGTGCTTCCAGGCCATCCTCGGAAGGCCGGCCGGCCTGCGGTGCCATCCAGAGGGTCGGAGGGCATCTGGGGGCCGTCTCGAAGGCACCGTGTTTCCGCGAAAGTGCAGAGTCCAGCGAGGGGAAGGGCCCTGGCCAGTGGTGAGCACCTGGGAGCTGCTTTTAGGGTTGAGAAGGGGCCAGCCTGGCCCTGACCCTCCTGACCACAGACCCACGGCACGCAGCCCTGCACCAAGGAAGAAGGGGAGGAGGTCGGGGAGGAGGAGGAGCAGAAGAAAGAGAAGGAGAGCGAGGAGGGGCAGGAGGAACAGGAACAGGAGCAGGCTGTGTGTGTGTGTGCCGTGTGTACCGTGTGTGTGTGCCGTGTGTATACTGTGTGTACCATGCATACCGTATGTGTGCTGCGTGTACTGTGTATGTGCTATATGTGCTGTGTGTGCTGTGTGTACCATGTGTGTATGCTGTGTGTGCTGTGTGTACGGTGTACTGTGTGTGTACTGTGTGTGTACCATGTTCTGTGTGTGTTGAGTGTGATGTGTGTTTGCTCTGTGTACTCTATACACTGTATCTGCTGTGTACGGTGCGTGTTGTGTGTATGGTGTATGTGTTGTGTGCTATGTTTGCTGTGTGTTCTGTGTGTGCCTATGTGCTGCGCTTGTCTGTGCTATGTTGTATGTGTTTTGTGTCTGCTGTTTGTGTGTGCAGGTGGATGTGTGCGGGTACAGTGTGTGCTGTATGTCATGTGTGTGCTGTGTTGTATGTTTTGTGTCACGTGTGTGCTGTGTATCCTGTGTGCTGTGGGCCCAGGAGGATCTGAGCCTCACAGAGTGGCTGGATGCTGAGGAGCAGCAGGGCGTGGTGAGGAATGGACAGTGCTGGGCAGTAGCTTCTCAGAGTCCCGACCGTGGGCCCAGTGTGTGCGCGTGGTTCTTGCAAACAGCCTCCAGGACCCGGAGGCATGACAGGTCCCGCGTCCACTGTTAGTGCAGAGACGGGAGCATGTCCACGCATCAACGTGGGTCAGAGAAATCGTCTGCACCTGGGACTGGCCCTCTGGCCGCCCAGCCCCGCAGTGGACAGAGGGTGTGGGCAGCTGAGTCACAGATGTGCTGAGTCACGGGGACGTCTGAGTCATGCGGATCCCATCCAGCCGCCCGCCACTGTGAAGGTCGTGGTCTGCTCGGGTGGTCAGCCCCTGCAGCCCGAGCGATGGGGACCAGAGCCCCCGGGCGGCCAGTCCCCGGCCGTGCTTACACTAGCCTGTCCGTGCGTCCTGGACCCCGGGCAGAGGATGCTCTGCCCATGAGGGTCTCCTGCCCTGCTGGGGTCCTTGGGGTCATGCTGGTGGGAACAGAGATGGGGTGTCTGGGGCACAGGCTCAAGTCGGTCCCGGGACGCTGCTGTGGGAGCGGTGGCTGGTCCCCCAGGTCCCCGAGCCCCTTCCCGGCATCCGGGCCCTGAGCTGGGGGCCGCGTGCCCGTCCCCTCCCCCTGCACACACTGGCACCCTCGGGGCCTGTTTGGGTGCGTGGATGTGCTCTGCTGCACCCAACCCAGACGTGTCCCTTCCAGGGGAGAGCCCCCAGGGTTGGCCTGTGGCAGCGGGACGGGCACTGGGAACTGCCCTGTGGGCCTTAATGACCGCGTCCCTGTAGCTGGCGCCCTTGAACAAACACTGAACTCGGGGGCATCTAGGATAGGCAGCACCAGAGCCCGGTGGTCCCGCGGGGCCCTGGCACCAGGCTCTGTGGGGTGGGGTGGGGCAGTCATGTGCTGTGACAGTGCCCTGGAGCTGTGTGCTGGCCACGGGGCCTCCTGTCCATTCGGAGCCTCCGAATGTCTCTGGCTCGGGAGAGCAGCAGCACCCAAAGCGGCCAGAGTGACCCCCGGGAAGTGGGCATGGCACATGCAGGGCCTCTGCCTGTGGGCTCAGGCGGCGGGGAGGGAAGGGGCGCCCGGCTCAGCTCAGTGACCACCAGTGCTGTCCCACCCTCACTGCCCATCAGCGTCCATCTCTGCCCATCAACATCCATCAGTGTCCAACCTGCCCACCTGTGTCCATCATTGCCCGTCACTATCATTGTCCACCACTGTCCATCTCTGCCCATCTCTGTCCCTCTCTGTCCATCACTGTCCCTCTCTGTCCATCACTGTCCATCACTGTCCACCTCTGCCCATCACTGCCTATCTCTGTCCATCTCTGTCCATCCATGTCCATCTCTATCAATGTCATCTCTATCCATCTCTGTCCATCACTGTCCATCTCTTCCATCACTGTCCATCACTGTCCTCCATCTCTTCCATCACTGTCCATCACTGTCCATCACTGTCCTCCATCTCTTCCATCACTGTCCATCACTGTCCATCTCTGCCCATCAAAGTCCATCTCTGCATGTCACTGTGCAGGGTCTTCAGCCTGACTCTTCAGGAGAGAGCAGAGAAGGGCCCACTGGATGTCCAGGAGTGGGCACAAAATAGCTGACAAATCCCCTCGTCTGTCCCTGCATTCCCTGTCTCTGGTTTCCGTGACCCACGTCCCCTCCCCCGTCCCCACCCCGTGTCCCCATGTCCCCTTCCCCGTGTCCTGCCACGTCCCGGCACTGACAGCACGTCCTCCCCGCAGACGGCGCAGACGGTCCTGGCCGTGGTGGTGGTTTTCGGGATCTCCTGGCTGCCCCACCACGTCATCCACCTCTGGGCAGAGTTCGGGTCCTTCCCGCTGAACACGGCGTCCTTCGTCTTCCGGGTCATCGCCCACTGCCTGGTGTACAGCAACTCCTCCGTGAACCCCATCATCTACGCCTTCCTCTCCGAGAACTTCCGCAAGGCCTACCGGCAGGTGTTCCAGTGCCGCCTGGGCCAGCCGCCGGCCGATGGGGCCAAGGAGGGCCGCAGCCGCGCGGACACACCCCCGTCCACCAACTGCACGCACGTGTGAGGCCCCGAGGCCCTGCGGCCACCGTGCCGCGCGCCCCCCAGCCCCCCCAGGACTCCACTGTTCCCCAACTGCCCCGAGTCGGAAAAGAAGCCAGCGTCCGGCTCACTGGCTGGACGCCCACGGCCTGGAGGGCTCATGGCCGCCGTGACCCCGCACCCAGGACCCCTGCCCGCCCCCTACGGGAAGTGAACTGCCACAGGGTGGGGTTGTCCTGCACCTTGAAGCACGAGCGGGACACACGGAGCCATTCTGAATTCCGGGGACGAGACCAACAGGGCTTGTTCTAACACCGTCACGCGTCCCCCCGGCGTGGCTGGCCATTGGCCAGGGCGCTCCGCAGGGCACAGGGCTCACAGCTGCCTGGCAGCTCTGGCAGGCGGAGGTTGGGCAAGGCTCCAGGGGGCTTGTGCAGGAGCGGCGCCCAGAGCCCTCCCGTGCTACAGGCGGCAGCTCTGGTGGTGGGGACCGGAGTGGACAGTGTCCACCGTTGGGGAAGCGGCCAAGTCTGGGGTGGCCCTGGTGGGGGGCACACACACCTGAGCTCTGAGCTGTGCCGGGTGTGGAGGCCCCGAAACAGTTCAGACGTGCCAGAGGATGAGGTGCAGAAAGCCAGTCCCACGGGCTCCGAGGGTCACTCTGGGTCATCACGTGGGGTCACGGAGGGCAGTGGACTGGCAGACGTGGGGTCCACAGGTGTCTCCTGGCCCTGGAAGTCGTGGTGGGGTCCTCCAGGGCTTTCTGTGGGTTCGTCCCACGTTTTCTTCCCGCTTGAAATATTCATTTGTGATAAGATCATCCTGATTTGTAGTTTTCGTGGCGTGTAAAACACCACCTATATGTTTCACGACAGTTTCACAGTCATGGATGTCTACAATGAGAAACTGGGGAAAGATGAAATTATCCCACAGGGGGAAGGTGGTCTCCAGACTGCAGAATTTCTATGTTCTTTAGGAGGATGCAAAAGTGAGAATTTTTTTCCCCCTAAAACGGGGTTTTGAGGCGGGAGTAAGCATGTGAGCATTGATTGAGCACAGGTGCAGGGAGACCGAAAACAAAACCACAGAAATCTGGGTGTAGGATACGCCTTTCAGAAAGGACTGCATGGGGGAAATCCCGTTTTTGATCGAAAGGACGCGGCGAGGTCTTGGCACGCTGGCTTGAAGCTTTTGACTGGTCTCACTCTCGGTGTCCCTGGCCCCGGTGCGAGGAAGCGCAAGGCTGTGGACTCACGTCCATGTCCGCTGTGGTAGGAAGTGTGGAGGGCGTGTGCGACCCCAGCTCGGCCCCTCCGGCACTGGCCACCCTGCCCTCTGCACACTCAGGCCCTGCGCTGTGGGGGTTGGTGGGGGCCGGGCCCACCCCAGAATGGGCCCCTGTGGGCTCAGCTGCCCCAAGCGACCCTGCAGGGCTGCCCTGGGCGAAGGGCCCACGGTCCCGTCTCCTGTGCAGTCACAACACGTTAGGTGAGACGCGTGGCCACTGCTCTTGGGAGAAGCTGGCACCGCCTCTGCCCGATTCTGGGGTCTGCAGGGGCTACGGGCCTGGATGACGGGTTGGCCCTACAGGACCCGGGGCTTCCACCGGCTGTACCCTGCCGGCTCCACGCTGTTCTCCCCAGCTGCTGACGGCTGCGGCGCTGGCTGGACGGCCACTGGGCGTTGCTGGCCAGAGACAGCCTCTCCCCCCATGAGGCGCCCAGGCACCCCTCCCCCAGTGGCCAGAGAGAGGCAGAGCCACGTGTGCTGGTCCGGGCTGTGTGGACATGACCTTTCCCGGGCCCAGGGGAACCACTGCTTCCCCTGCGGTGTGGTTGCCGGGCCATGGCGGCTGGCCGGTGCTCGGACCCTGGGCTCTCACCCAGGGGGACGCTCCGGGGTCTTTCAGGGCCCAGCGCTGGCTTAGGCTCCCTCACTCCGTGCGTCTCAGCAAGCCGGCCCGCCTGCTGCCCTCCGTGAGCCCCCACCGGGTCTCCACCTACACTCTCATGCCTGGGCTCAGCCGTGGTTCAGTCCCCACGCGGCCCAGCCGTCCTCATCCAGGCCGAGAGTCGGCGGACGGTGTCCAGCTCCCACGTAGACCCTCCGTCCTCTGCCCACTGCGCTGAGGGCCCAGCCCTGAGCCTGATGCAGGGCCCCATATCCCCGGGCCTGTGGCCACTGCATCACAGGCGCACACAGGCCAGTCCAAGCCGGGGCTTCGTGAGCACAGCTGCATGGGGCCGCCGCGTGCAGAGGGCCGCCCTGGCGGTGTGAGCTGGGACGTCTCCGTGTGCTGGCGGCTGCAGGGGACGAGCCGTTTCCTCCCGCAGCGTCAGACAAAATCGTTTGGTGGCAGCGAGTGCCTTCGTGTCTGTTGGCAGCCCCAGTCCCCCCCCCCCCATCTCTGGTCTTTAAAATGGCCACGTATGAAGCCAGGAGCGGGGTCCCGGGGGCGACTGACCTGTGTTTCCTGTCCTAAGAGGTAAACACCGTCACTGTGGTTCAGGGGCTCCCAGGAGCACCAGCCGGGAGCACGGCCACCGGGGGCGAGAGGCCCGCTGAAGTTCCATGACACACCCCAGCGGTGCCCATGGTGCCCCGGCCACCTTCCTGCCCCGCATGCCGGCGCTTCTCTCCTGTTTCTCCAAGGCCGGGCACCTGCAGTTCCTATGAGCATCACGTTCCTTCAGCATGAGTATTCGCACTCCCCCATCCGTGGTGGCAGGACGGAGCTGCCTCCCACAGCCCGCCTGTCCCCGTGAAGTCCACCCGCCTGTCCCCGTGAAGTCCACCCGCCTGTCCCCGTGAAGTCCACCCACCTGTCCCCGTGAAGTCCACCCGCCTGTCCCTGTGAAGTCCACCTGCCTGTGACTGGGACCAATTTTCTTGCATTGAAAATAAACATTGTCGCCTTGAGTGTTTTTCTTACACGTGTGCTATTTTCCAGCAGAGGGAAATCGCAGGGTCCGGCATCATTTCCGAGGGATGCGCGACGCGGAGGTGGGACTGCAGCCGGTTTGCCCCTTACTGCGGCACCTGGGAACAGTGTCAGTTAGGGGATGGCCGACAGCTCCACCCCAGAGCTCTCCTCTGCCCCGCACTGGCCTCTCCCCTCCCCTCACCTCTTCCTTCCCTTGAACAGAACAGGTGTCTCTTGTTTTCATAAAACGGACACGAGAGCACCACAGGGCTCGGTGTGAAGCGCAGCCCACGCGATTGTCCCCCAGAAGCTGCCGCCTGTGGCTCTTCTCTGAGGGAGGGGGCTGAGCGAACCCGGGGGGAGGGCGCTGGGACAGTTCCCTCTCCCGTGACTGTGGACAGTGACAGACGAGGGATGGGTCTGTGGAGGGAGAAGAGACCGTTTGACCGTGTTGCCAGACCGCGAGTGTCATTCGTGAAGAAACTCCCGCTGAGTCACACCGGCAGAGGGTTAACGTGGAGCAGAGACTTGCAGGCGAGGAGCCTCTTAGCTCGTGGCCCGGATCTGGGAGGCGGAAGGGCCTGTCCCTGGGGGCTCAACTGGCCGTGCTGCTGCCCTGAGCGTGGGGGTCACCAGGCTGAGAGGGCGCTTGGGAGGTGGTACACTGAGGGCCGAGAAACCGTGGGAACCAGACGGACGGGGAGGCCCCGGGGAGGAGGGAGGGGACTTGCACAGAGGGCCCTGCATGGCTGCTGACATGTCCAGAGCAGCACCCTTGACTCAGTGACAAGCCACACCCCACCAGGAGGCCAGCCAGAGAAGGACGGAAGGTTCCAGAAGGCCAGCCAGAGAAGGACGGAAGGTTCCAGAAGGCCAGCTATAGAAGGACAGAAGGTTCCAGGAGGCCAGCCAGAGAAGGACGGAAGGTTCCAGGAGGCCAGCCAGAGAAGGATGGAAGGTTCCAGAAGGCCAGCTATAGAAGGACAGAAGGTTCCAGGAGGCCAGCCAGAGAAGGACGGAAGGTTCCAGAAGGCCAGCCAGAGAAGGACGGAAGGTTCCAGAAGGCCAGCTATAGAAGGACAGAAGGTTCCAGGAGGCCAGCCAGAGAAGGATGGAAGGTTCCAGGAGGCCAGCCAGAGAAAGACAAAAGGTTCCAGAAGGCCAACTATAGAAGGACAGAAGGTTCCAGAAGTCCAGCAGAGAAGAACGGAAGGTTCCAGAAGGCCAGCTATAGAAGCACAGAAGGTTCCAGAAGTCCAGCAGAGAAGGACGGAAGGTTCCAGAAGGCCAGCTATAGAAGGACAGAAGGTTTCTGGAGGCCAGCCAGAGAAGGATGGAAGGTTCCAGAAGGTCAGCTAGAGAAAGATGGAAGGTTCTGGATGGTGCCATGTCCACTGCTGTCCAAGCCCTGCATTGTGGCCTCCACCAGTCTTGCTCCAAGGTCCCTCCCCATGGCCAGGAGCTGCCACCCATGATGGACAGTGCCCAGCCCTCTCCCCCAGTCACCTGTGCCCATGCCCCTCCCTGCGGTCATTCAGGTCCGCTGCCCATCACCTTTCCCAGGGGAGAGTTGCTCGGTGCTGTCCCTGCATGGTGTTGAACCCTTCCCTTGCCTCACCTGGAGAGTCACCTTCCCGCCTGTCCCCAGGAGACAGACCTGGGTCACACCTCTGGGTCTGGGTGAGCATATGTTGACCATTTGGGTGAAATTATTAAAACAAAATCTGCATGGCTGGAGGATGGCGAGTGGACACCAGGGCAGGAGCCACTACCTCAGATGCAGATATTCTGTCGGCTACAGCACTCAAGCGACCAGCCGCCAAGCCAGGAGAGGAAACTGAGAAGAAAACAAGAAGGAAAGAAAACTCTACGAAAGTGTCCTTGTTCTGAGTCACCGCCCGCGGTGACCTGGGTCCCCTGGGGCATTCAGGGCCAATGACTGTCCTCCTCGGCTGATGGATGAAGGAAAGGGGACCACAGGCGGGTAACTGGTGGTTGGTAGTCGGTGGCCCTTTATTCAAAACCCCTCAGCATTGCTATAGAGTTCGCGAAGGGTTCGGGGTAGCAGTTGCACAGAGCTGTGCTTGGACCCTTTACCTAAACGGCGAGCAGAGGT